ATATTTTGAGTTAATAGATGAAAAATTTGTCCGGTTTTTAATTACTGTACAAAATTTCGGACAATTTGGTTTAGTTTAAGCCCTTTAACTATTCACGCAAAGTTACATTTTTCCTAAAAATCAGCTATTTGCATGCTTAATTAATGCCTTTGCCTAATTTGCATATGTTAGCAATATGCAAATTAGGTAAACGCATTAATTAAGCATGCGAAAGGCTGATTTTTTAAAATAAAATGAATAGTTAAAGGGCTTAAACTCAACCAAATTGTCTGACATTTTGTACAGTAATTAAAAACCCGACAAAGTTTCCATCTATTAACTCAAAATATGATTACAACTTTTAAATTTTGTGCGCGAGCCATTTTTAGTTTGTTGGAAAAGACACCCCCCCCTGGTTCACAAAATTTGAGTTTGAGAAATTTTTTTCATTATTCTACATTATAAGTATCCAAAGAAGCTATATATATATAAAACCGGATGCAAATAGGTGTTTTGCGAAATTGAGAGCAATTTCAAATCTGTTCAGTTTTTTTTTATACACCCTGTATATATATATATATTTTTAATTGAGCACGTTTTTAATACAGTTTAAAATTTGGTAATGTAGACATCGAATATGATCAATGAAACTTTGCATATACAAATTTTCCGCCATATTGAAAATACTGAAATCTGCTAGGTGTTCTGAAGCACCTTTAGCTGTGACGTCACACCTAAGTCCCAGCTCGTACTACATCCACGTTTTTTCTCGCGCTTGCTTCTGAACAACTTGGACTAGGCTGGGAAAAACGTAGTCAACTATACAAACTACTGCAACTTGACATGAAATGTAGATCGCTTCTCACTATATAGCTGCTGTTTAAAAAAAGTAGCGAAATATTCGCTACTTCGCTACAACAAAGTATCCTGCCATCCACATGTGCAATTTACATTGATGTCATATGTTCTTTTAATTTGAATGGCAAAAAAAGCTGATAAATAGACCTAAAGTGCCGAAAACCGTATATACGTAGGCAATGTAAGAAAGCCTTATCAAACTCTGAGGTTCTTGGCGGTAGACTAAGAAGACAAAAAATTTGCACACTCCAGTCGATTGATGACTGATGAGAAATATGAAAAGTAGCGAATAGCGGTTGTTCCTTGAAAAGTAATCAACTACTTTGCTACTGAATAAATATAGTACGCTACAGCTACAACTATGTACATACTGTTTAAAACCCCCAGTAAAAAACTACTCGCTGCTTGGAAATTGTAATTCGCTATTACCCACCCTATAGATATAAAGTCGTCATCATCACAATTATTGTCATTCGAAAGTAGTGTAATACGATCTAGCTATCCGCATTTAAACCCAACATTTTCTTTTACTAAAAGTTTCAATTGTTCATTTGCATAGTTGTATCGTAAAGCTTTGGTCTTTTGTTTTAGGGTTTTCTTAAATTGTCGTGGACACGTTGGAAAAGAGTTTTGTTCACGCGGTCTATTGCGATAGCACCAACACTGGCGGTAGCTTTCTTAGGAATTAATAATCTCACTGGAATGAACGATTTCTTGAATGTCTTGCAAAGTTTACAGGTTAGTTGAAGCTTTAAAATTGCTTTTATTTGACTATCCCATATTTTTATTTTGATTTTGGTTCGTTGAGATGGTGAAAATTAATAAATTATATTAAATTGATGTTTCAGTTATCTTTTCCTGGTAGATCGATTAGTAACATTCCTTATCACTTTCAAGTAAAAATATCCACAGCTGTATTCAGGAGTAGCTTGAGGCCGCGTTTACACTATGACGCTACAGCAAATTTACCGTATCGTATTGACTCCGTATCGTATTGTGGTCCGTATATTTGGTTCGCTACGGCAAACGAATCCGTTATAGTGTTTATACAATACTAAGAAACGTATAGTGAATTTTTAACGGAATGCTATATAGGTGTAGCGTTATAGCTAGTGTAAACGCGGCCGAATTATTTAACCCTTTTTGTGTAAAATAGACTTTTACGTTTACGGATCTTTTAAAGTTATAACGCTGTGCCCTGCTTTTCTAGCTTCCTTTCGCATTGCTACCCATGTTGTACTTCACAAATAAGGTGGAAATTATGGGCAGTTTTGTAAACGGAAAGTAAGTTTTTGTTATTGTTATTGTTTTGGCTGTTTTAATTTTGCATGTTACATCTTCCTCACGAGGTGACTGCCCCTGCTTATAACATTTGTCGAGACATTCGTTGGTGGTTAATTGCTGTGGCTAATGAGCCAACACTTTGTCATACCTCTATACGAAAAGAATATTTTCGTCTTGGCAAATATAAACATTCTTTTTTTTGGTGACCGGTGAAACGCTGCAGACGCGACAAGGAACATGTCAACATGTTATTTACAAGCTGGTACAAATTAACAAACAAATTCTTATTAACAAATACTGCGTGAAATATTGTGAGGCTCGAGTGTAGGTAACAATAAACAATATATTTGAGAGGTTATACATGTTATAACTAATTGACTCATGAAAAAGGACTTCTACGTGACAATGGGAAGGGCCTTTTGCTCACTTCTACTGCCATTAGCAGACCATTAACCAAAACAAAGAAACTGAAGAAGTATTATTTAACACTGTTTATATATAATTTTTTAATATTTTAGCCTCATGTTCAATTTAATAGTACTATTTCGCAAAACAATCTGACAGATCGCAGCCGGGCATTTTTTTGATAAACTAAGTTAGTTCATTAGTTCCATTCTAGTGCGATTGAAGTGGAAAACGGCCGTTACCATTACACCACTCGCTAACTCGCTAAAATATTAGCAAAAATAAGAATATAAGTAACCGCTTCATGTGCTAGACATGCATGTGCACCTAGCAGCTTTCTCGCTTGATATTAATACTATTTTCGGGCGAGGGTACGCATTGATGTATTTTTAGTTGCAGTTTGTTTTCTTCATTAACAATATTTTTGTTTCCAGGATCATGTGCGCATTTTCATGGGTTGTTTCAATTATAATATTGGGAATCAATTTTTTTTTCGTCGGTCAAACTCTGGTATGTTCAGTTCGTTCTTGTACTGTAATGTATGATTTAAAGGCGAGCGCGCACACTACGATTTTAGTCGGACGATGCATGGTTGTATCTGTAAGACTTTTTTTAAATTGGTAGTGTATTGTTATATGCCCGTCATTACATGCTCTCTTCTTTCGTGTCTCCATGGGAGGTCTAATCAGGTGACGTCATCACTTCAGTTGGGATACATGTTAAAACGAAAATCAGTCCGTGGCATAATCTGTGTACTGCTTTTTCTCGTTTCTATGGATTCGTTAAGACTCGTTTACACTTTTGGCTGCGTGTATAGGTGCGATGTTCTTCTGACGGATGTGAACAAGTGGATGAGTTAAGAATGATCAGATGATGGTTTTGTTATACTCAGGATATTCACGACTCTTCTACTCGTTCACATCCATTAGAAGAAGAAAGTCGTACTGGAAATCGCAGCAAAAATTGCAAGTGTAACGGGCCATGCGCGGTAAGTCGTAAATTGGCCGACTAAATTCCTAGCGTGTGTGCGCAGCTTAAGTAGTAAATGTAATCTGTCAACAAGTATAGTTGACACATGCAAAGTAAATTACCGTTTTCACATTCGTTAATAAGTGTATAATCATTTTACGCCGTTGGTACAGACATTATTATTGCATAATTGTTTGATAATTATGGTGCACTATATTATATACTCTTTTATATTTTACCCCTATGTATGTGGTTGCCGTTTATGTACCACTACTATATGTTTAGTATAGTTGACACATGCAAAGTAAATTACCGTTTTCACATTCGTTAATAAGTGTATTAAATATGGCGCTCAGGATTACACAGTCATTTGCAATTTTGAAAATTAAAATTAATTGCAGATTATTTACATAAAAACGATCTCCAAATTCAATTGTTCGTGTGGTTCAATTAGTCAATAGAGCATGCTAACATTATTCTCAAGAACCTCATCCGAAAGCTTGGGGTTTCGCTTAGAGAATTCTATGCATATCCGAAACCTCGCCAGATTCCTACTATGCTTTGATAAATTTGAGGTATATGATAATGATTTTTTGTTTATTTAGATGAGTTTACCAAAAAATGTAGCATTGTTGTTGTTCATTTCTGTCTTGGTTCTCCTTTATTGTGTTTTTGTTTTTCTTCTGGTAAGTGTGCTTTTCATCTGGGGCTTGGGTACGACTTGTTCACGCCCGACTCCACTTTTAATGAATAAATCAGAAAATATTTATTTGATCCGCAAGCATGTTGCTATAGTCAGTTGAAGTAATTCACCGACAGGCTGAGGAAAATTCACGTCACTTGTAACCAATGCCTCCGAGGCCGTTACAAATCATTAATTTTCCAAACTGTTTTCAATATTAAACTCTTACATTTATAGCTTTAAATAACAGCCTGTACTAAAAAAATGTTTATTAGCCTGGTAATGCATACAAAAATTGGCCAATGTTTGAATCGGTCAATAAGTGGACTCTTTCTCGAATCTAGTTTGCTTGCATTCACACCAGAAGCCCCATTTTCTAAATGCCGATTCAAAGCCTAGTATAATAGCCAGTTGGACCCATGTGTCGATAACTAAATATTTCTTTTCTCTGTAGTTTTACTACGCTCTCGAATTCAAGTTTCTTGATCGGTTTAATGTAAGTGTGAAGCAGAGTAATTATTTATCGAAACTCTTTACCAACCACAATTGTTAAAGGAAAATAGCAATATGGAAGATTTACGGAAATTTGGAAGCGAGATTCACTATATTGCAAACCTTATTACAGATGTTCTCAATCTTTCTTGGTTTAAAATATATAACCGTTCATTCCGGACAAATTTATTATGCATTCTGCCATCTTGGATAGGCGTATCCATCGTCGGATATGCGTGACGTCACAACTAGGGTAAAATTATTTTGTATCTTGAGTGATCCGTGGATTATTTCTCAATGTTAGTTATTATTTCTCTAGTTTTATAATGTCTGCCCTGGTGCTGATGTCATTTAATTTAATCTAATTATAAAAAAGATGGCGGAAGGAAGGATTTTTGATTCCAAATATTGGGAGAATTTGTAAAATTACATCCATTTAGACCTAACCAGCAGGAGTAGCTCATTGCAAGAAATGCAACCAGAGGTTCTCTGGCAGGAATCGAACCTACACACTGCGATTCTGTTACAGCGCTCTAACCACAGTTAATGCTCCAACAAACTGAGCTACAGAAGCCAGATACAGAACTCGACAACTGAACTCTGTAGTTCAGTTGGTTAGAACGCTGCACCAGAATCGCAGGGCCGCAGGTTCCATTCCTGCCAGAGGATGTATAGATGCATTTTTCGCAACTGCTCCTCATTAGGTTTAATAATGTATAAAATTCTGAATCGAAATTTCCTTCTACATATAATCCTGATATCTGCAGCTTAGTGGTCAGAGCGCTATACCGAAAACGAAGGGCCGCAGGTTCTATTCCTGCAGAAGGCCTATAGTTTCATTTTTAACAACAGCTCCTGATTATGTCTAAAATATATATAGCTTTGTGTCCAAATTTCATCTGCAGAAAACGTTCAACATAATAGTTGTGAATCTTGTTTCGTATTGTAGTGTTTACGCAACAGGAGCGGAGAATACGAGGAACATAAGGACGATGATGATGTCGTAGCTGACTGTGGGGAACACGTTGATGATTGAGACTATGTTTACACTAGAGCAAATGTTTTCGGATTATATCGTTTACACTAACGAGCATGAATCCCATACAAAATGATCACAGATATATTTGGAACTTAGTTTGTGGGAACTTCGTATCCGAACAAAGTATAAATCCGGAAAAATTATCGTGTAAATGCTTTCGGTAAACATCCGCATCAAATTGCTCCGGCGTATGTTTTTGTATCTGTGTTTGCGTAGATATATTGCTGTCGCGTCTGTTAAGTTTGTCGACCACGGTTTCTTAACAATGACGTAATGTACAGAGAAAAGCAAGATGGCGGCCGTCGAGGAGTGAAGGTAATGTTCCAATGTTTTACTGCTAGTGTTCAAATATTAACGTTTTGGAACACTACTTTGATTTCCAATATGATTTCTTCAACATTTATTCTTTTACAACAATAGCTTAAAACCTTTTCGCAAGGAGAATCAAGAGGAAACTGTGTGTTGTTAATTATGCGAGTGTAATCTAACAAAAATGTACTGCAATGAGACTACAACAGTCGACTACACGGACCATGCAGTGTTTTGTGCGGTCGCGTTCTGGGCTGAATTATGCAGTTAATTAATACAGAATTAATATGTACATTGGGTTGCATGAGGTGCTCAGTACATAAATCAGCGCAGATACATGTACGCCTAGCGTACCTATTTTTAGTTTAAATAATCGCTGGGTCAGGCTGTGTAGTGCAAACGCCTCAGAAATCTGTATACTTGTAAAACAAGGAATGAAGATACTTTTAGGAATCCGGAAACTTTTGCTCTTGTGTAAACGTAGGCTGAGAGTCGAACTTCATTAATACCGTTGTACGTAAGATCATGGAAAATTAGAACTTTTTCCTTTGAACGTCATATAACCACATCACTTAGAAGGCAGAATAGGTAGAAATTATATAATTTTAGAAAAATTCCTGGGACAATATACATGAACGCTACGCAATTATTGTATTTTGCATCGATATATACATGTAGTAGCAACTGTTCGAATCCGAGATTTTACATTTTAATTAAGTAATCATTGAATTCATTTGGTTTTCAAGGTATGTTTCCTTCGCGAAAGGAAACGTGGAGAAATACTATTCCAGATAAAAGAACCAAATCGAGAAAATGAGCGTTTTTGGATTTCTAATCGTGAAGAATTGATGTAAAAATTCTTGTTCGCAGCTGCTCTCGTATTATATCTATGAATCTCGCAATATATAAAGTGCACATTAAATCGTATTCTCATGTTTTTATATCATTATATCAAACTAAAACCACCCCCAAATCACACCGAAACATAAAGGAAACTAAGTAAAAGTTGTACTTTAAGTAAGTTTTATAATTTAAAGTACATTTTCAATGCAAAATATAAAAAAAAAAATAAAAATAAATACCCACATAGAGCCTGGGCTACTGTCTTCGAACAACAATGGCGGTCGTAAAGTTTTCCATGTGTTTCTCGCATCGCACTAGCCTAAGAGCCTGCAGTCGCTTCTAATAAATTTTCGTGTATAGCGTTTGAACGCGAACGCTAGCTTTTCATTGGCTATAGCTCTAATGCCACGTCCATCTCAACAGTTATTATTCAAAATGGCGGTCAGCAACGACGAGGCGTTCGAGGAAGGGACATGATAGCAAGAAGAATAATGGTCAGCAAAGTATATAGTTAAGTTTGAAGGAAAGTCAATAGATGTATTTTTTACATGCAAACCTCAAAAATAACACATTTGATAAGATTTCACCAAAAGAAATTCTTCAAAATCGGCAAAAACTGGGTATTCATTGCAGACAAAGGTATTCATTTGAGATCTATTTACAATAATTGTAATCTGAAAATTTGATCAAATTTGGACTATTTTTAAATATTCAACGAGAGAGAGCGTCCCGACTTCAGTAGGAAATAATATCATTTTGAGAAAATCGAGTTCAAAGTTGCAAGATAACTTTTGAAGACAAACAAATTACATTTAAAAACAGATAAATTACATCAAAGAGTACTTAAAATGAACCTGTTGCATATATTTTCCCCTCTTCTTTTTCATTCTTTTCACCTTTCCTCTTATTTCTTCCCCTGATTATCTTTCTTCGCACTTTATTCTTCTCCTCGCCTTGTAGTTAGATTTCTTAAAACGAAGTCGATCGGCTTTCCTTACTCCAGCAACACTAAAGTTTCACTATAGGATGCGGTTAGAGTAGAGTAGGGTAGGGTTTGGGTTAGTTACATAGCCATTTAACACCACCACCTCCCGAAAATTACGTCACGTCAGTTTGGTGGATGGAAACAAGTGCTGACCTATTGAGATGTTGTGTTGAATATACAGGCAAATACTTGGTGTAACATGCAAGAAAAGGGTAACAAAACAAAATGCAGATAGGGAGGGGAGGCTTGGGATTTATTCTGACTAAAATATGCAAATTTAAATGAACCAATGGGATGGATTTTTCAAAAGAGATCTCGTTGCTATGGTGCTTGGTAAGGACCAAAACTATAAACAATGATATACTTTTCAATACTTTCCCGTTTTCTTCGCGCAAATAAAAAAATACGCCGGGAAATGAAAAAGCAATGATCAATAATGTATACAAAATAATAACAGTAACTCCGAATAACATTTTGATTTTTAATCGACGTTTCGACTAGTTTGTAGTCATCCTCAGGATTAATAATAGTGTAAAATTACGGATGTAGCTATTACTAGGATTACTATCGCAAGGCAATTGCTGCCTCACTCCGAGGGGATCAAAGCCAGGCAGCATCCAGAATTCGCTGAATAAGTGAATAATAGTGTAAAATTACAGATGCAGCTATTATAAAGTCAAGAAAGGCGGAGCTTAATGCCAATTAATGAAATATGAGAAGTTCTTCGGAAGCTTTCGCACCGTGGTTGAGAGCTACATTGGTAAAACAGACCGTTGTCTATACACCCGTCTGAAAGACCATAGCACGCGAGTAAACTCGGAAATCAATGCCCACATCAACTGCTGCGAACATTTTCAACACATCAAATCCCTTATGGAACTTTCACCTGACTCAACTAACACTATAAACACTAATTTTACTGAACTTATATTTAGAAATTGTAAAATAATTGATAGGTCAAGGCCACTGGTCTCTGTTGTTATTTAAAGAGTCTCTGGCTATACGCAGACGAAAACATGATCTCAACCACGGTGCGAAAGCTTCCAAAGAACTTCTCATACTTCATTAATTGGCATTAAGCTCCGCCTTTCTTGGCTTTATAATAGCTGCATCTGTAATTTGCACTATTATTAATCCTGAGGATGACTACAAACTAGTCGAAACGTCGATTAAAAATCAAAATGTTATTTTCGGAGTTACTGTTATTTTGTATTTTCTTAAAATACTGAGTGGTTCCCGTAATCAATAATGTATAATATGGTTGTTTCGAAAATTTGACTCTTTCACAAAAAAATATTGGCCCAGACCACCTTACACCCATATTTCTGACAATATTAAGTTGTTTAAATGTACAGTGGAACATATATTTGTATATGTATACTAATGAGTAATGCATATTTTTTATTCCATTTGAATTTTTTAATTGTTGAAAATATAGTGATAATCAACTTAGCTATTGTTAAATATTGGTTCAGCCAATCAAGTTTCAGATTTTTACCAAAACACGTCGATTGCAGTTACGGTGGATTGTCAAAATTCTTGGCGTTCCAGTGCCTTATTTACTGAAATGGTCCATACAAAATAGAACTATGTAGTTTATCTTCACTTGTGTGAGAGAACTCATACCAATAAGCCATAAATTCAGCACGAGAGATCACTCCATCTCCATCAGTGTCCATTGCTTTAAACGATGGTTTAGCGTGCTCCACAGGGATGCTAAGAGCCATGCAATGAATTTCCCACTCTTTCAACGATATACTTCCATCTCTGTTTGTATCAATAATTCGAAACATCTTATCGTGGACATCGGTCGCAAAGCCACCTGCATTCTCCACGTTTTCAATCCAAGACTGCACCATTTCGTCGTAAGTCAAGGACTTCGTCTTATCTGTAAGACCCAAGGAATCACACATCCCGTACATGGCGTCAGATAATTCTTGTTTGTATTCTTCTGGCATACCAAGCTCGTTATATCTCTTGATCATGAGGTCATAATCAGCACGAGTTATTACACCATCCTTTAAAATTAACGAGTTTATTTCACTTTATTTACAGAATAATTTGGTCAAAATTTATAAAACCATGAAATTGAGTTAAACTCTCAATCGAAATATCTGGAAATGAAAGTTCTCCTGCATGCATGTTTAATTATTAGCTAAAAGTCACTTGAAAATGGGGTAGCTACATCATCTCCTGTTCGGGGAAATATTTAGAAACTGAAACGTTAGTATTTTAAAGGGATATGGCAAAATAAATTAACTTTGTCTTATTTGAAAGAATTTTTAAAGTTATGGAAGATGACCCTTTACAACGTTTTCGTACTTTGCTGGTTTTCGAAATATTTTGGCGAGATTGAAACAAAGGCTTTGTTGGGTTCCATTGAGTTTAGTTTGAAGAGATTGAAACAAATGGTTAAAAACGCTTCTGCTGAGTAAATTTATAGTTTCACTTGTCGCGTCTTGACATGTTTGCGTTGTGCACGAGACGTGAAAATCTCTGGTTTGCCGTTGTAAAAAGCCATAACACAACGTCTCTAAATCCCGTGGGGCTTTTAATTATTCATTTCTTTGGTACGAGATCAGGAATATCATTGTGTGAACAGTCGTCGCGTTGCCGTCCTGTTTAGTGCTTAAGGTCCCTTATGTCCGGGACGAGTCACAGCCTTCAAAAAACTGTGGAGGAATCTACTGTTGATGAGGGTATGAAAAGCCTTCATATTTCCCTGGAATTATGTCGCAAACGTGCAAGTAAACGGAATACGACAAAAATAAGACATCAACTTGAAAAATCATTTAGTGTGTCAAAAGCCACATTAGACAAACAAGAGATTGAGCTTATGCAGAGTGTCTGTGGTCTTCACTAGAAGAGACACAGAATATTATGGATGAATTATCTGTTTGTTACTTGAGGGGAAAGGTGAAAATCAGAAGGCGTTAATGAAGGAATCAAGCAAAGTAGAAGGAATCAAACAAAGTTGATGTAAATAACAGTAACAATCTATAATTGTAGTATTCTTAATATATAACTCACACGTTTGCTTTGAGTATTGAAAGAAAGACTTTTATTATTGTTATTGTTATTATTGTTATTATTATTTTTATTATAAACCTCAAACCTCACAAACAATGTTAACCGCAAGAAAGCTAAATATAAAAACCTAATTAGAGAACTGGATCAAAACTTTACATCTGTTAAATTTATAAATCTTTCTGTCAGTTCGCTAGGGGTGTTTGACAAAGAATGTCATACATTCGTAAAAATGCTAAATGAGTTAGGACTGGATAATCAACACCAACAATATTGTATCAGAAAAATTATATCTATTGCCATCCGATCAACGTACTACAAATTTTGCTGTAGAAATAAAGAATGGACAAATCCCGAACTAATGAACATTTAAAGTAACTATTTCTATAAATAATTAACAATTTATTATTACTATTATTATTACTATTATTATTATCATTATTATTATTATTATTATTAGATGATTTAAGCAATCATCTACAAGACTGTGCGAAGCTATAGCCAGAATGACCAAGACTTTGTGCACACAATATATCGATCCTACCACTATTGAAGCATTGATTGCTAGTCGTTTAATTCCCCTAGACAAAGGCGAAGGTGCGGTAAGACCTATCGCAGTAGGAGAAGTAATTAGGAGGATAAGTGCAAAATGTGTTATGAGCTTTGCAAAGAAGGATGTTGTGGAAGCAAGTGGATCGTTACAATTATGCGCTGGGCAAAAGTCTGGAAGTGAGGCTGCAATACATGCAATGAACACCCTGTTTGAAGCTGATGACATTGATGCTGTTTTACTTATCGATGCTTCCAATGCATTCAATGCACTTAACAGAACTGTGGCTCTGCATAACATCCGTGTGTTATGTCCGATAATCGCTGCCTACGCTATAAACACCTACAGACAGCCAGCTCGGCTGTTTATTGTTGGCGGCAAAGAGATTGCGTCAGCAGAAGGAACCACGCAAGGAAATCCTTTGGCAATGGCCTTTTATGCGATAAGTACCCTGCCTTTGATCACGAATCTACAGGCCTCATCTACCGTGAAGCAGTGTTGGTTCGCAGACGATGCGAGTGGAGCTGGTCGTGTGACACAAATCAAAGATTGGTGGGATGCATTGAATACTCTTGGTTCAAACTTGGGATATTTTCCGAAAGACGAGAAATGCTGGATTATTGTTAAGCCCGAAAAGGAAGAAAGTGTGAGAGAAGTCTTCCATGGAACGGATATCAATGTAACAGTGCATGGGCAGAAACATCTGGGAGCAGCGCTAGGTTCACGAGAGTAACTGGAGGAATATGTTAATGAGAAAGTCTCTAATTGGGTCAACGAAGAGACAGAATTAGCCGAATTTGCACTGTCCCAACCACAAGCGTCCTATGCCGCATACACATTTGGTTTGAAACATCGTTGAACCTACTTCCTAAGAACTCTGCCAGACATCCAGGACCTACTAGAGCCACTCGAAAAGGCAATATCGCAGATTCTCATCCCCGCTATCACAGATCACCAGTGCAATCCACTCGATCGGGACATTCTAGCACTTCCAGCACGTCTGGGTGGCCTGGGCTTGGAAAATCCAAGTCATGAGGCAGAACGTCAGTATGTGTCGTCAAAAAGAGTGACAGCACCCCTTGTTGATCAGATTGTAGCGCAGTTATATCAGCTACCCGACGAGTCGCATATAAAATCAGCGCAACAAGCCGTTAGGAAAGAACGAGTGCAAGAGTGGGAGGAGAGGGCAGAACGTATTAGAGAGAGTGCACCACCAAGAATTCAGCGTATATTAGATGTGGCTTCGGAAAAAGGATCACCTTGTGGCTCACAGCACTTCCCCTAAAATAACAGGGATTCAACTTGAATAAGAGAGAATTTCGGGACGCCGTAAAGCTGCGCTATGATTGGCCAATCGACGACATCCTTCCATATGTGTATGTGGGGATACCATGCCATGAACTGCAAACGTGGAGGCTTTGTAATTATGCGCCACAATGAGTTAAGAGATCTGAAAGCGGAACTCCTCAACATTGTCTGTAGTGACGTCCAAGTTGAGCCTGTCCTACAAGACATCTCGGGAGAGCAACTAAATGGAGGCTCCAACAGAACACCTGATGCTAGACTCGACATTCGTGCGCGTGGGTTCTGGGAAAGTCAGCGATCAGCCTTTTTTGATGTAAGGGTTTGTCATCCCAATGCTGATTCGTACAAGGACCTGGAGCTACGCCAAGTCTACAAGATACACGAAAACGAGAAAAAGCGCCTATATGCAAGGAGAGTCTTCGAAATAGAGCAAGGAACATTTACGCCACTCGTATTCACCACCACAGGCGGTATGGGCAAAGAATGTGTGAGATACCATAGTCGATTGGCAGAGTTGGTAGCCATAAAGAAAGGCGAAGATTATGCGACAACTATGAGTTGGATAAGAGCCAGAACCTCATTCGCTTTATTAAGATCGGCACTTACCTGCTTGAGGGGTTCAAGGGCAAGGAAAATCATGTATGATATTAAGAACATTGATTTCAATATTGAGAACGCCGAGAGTGCTATCTCTCAAACATTTTAGATTGTACATATACAAAGTTTAGTTGTTTTATTTATTTATTTAGCGGAATATGTTAGTTATTTAGCTACTTAGCGGTAAATATTTTAATTATGTAGCGGTATATGTTCCAGAGTTTGTTTTTAAAATTTAACTGTACATATCAACAAACATTTAGACACTTTTTTAATTATACCCAAAGAACAGATTATTTAATATAGTCATTGTTGCCTGTATTAACTATGATATAATGAAATGATGAATAAAGTTGTATTATTATTATTATTATTATTATTACTATTATTATTATTACTATTATTATTATTACTATTATTATTATTATTATTATTATAAACCTCAAACCTCACAAACAATGTTAACCGCAAGAAAGCTTTATTATTATTATTATTATTATTATTATTATCCAAAATCAATTAACTTGTCAGGGATCCTTTTTCTCTAGTGTAACAAAGTTCTCCTTGTCGCATCTTAGCAAAGTGTGGTCTACTGCTCAATCAAAACTTCCGAAAAACATTTATAACTTTACCATACGCTATATCAATAACTCTCTTCCGACACGCAAGAACCTTAGCAGATGGGGATTGTCTTCAAGTTCAGAATGCTCCTTTTGTCTTGGCCCAGAATCATTATTGCACGTGGTCGCTGGATGTCAGTGTTATCTCGATCGATTTACGTGGAGACACAATTCAATCCTGAACTTCCTTGCCAATACCTTGCAAACTGTGAACGGTTCTGCCCTCTACGCTGATGTGCCTGGATTCAAAAGTCCTTCAATAATAACTGGTGATACGTATCGCCCGGATTTGTTGCTATCGTTATCAAATGGCTCTCTTTATGTGGTCGAGCTCACTGTTGGCTATGAGACAAACCTCGAGAACAACGTTAATCGGAAAAAAGCCAAATATAAAGAACTAGTAAAACAACTAGACGAAAATTTTAACGAAGTAAACTTTATAAATCTTTCTATGAGCTCCCTAGGTATTTTTGCGCAAGAATGCTCTACATTCTTAGAAATGTTAGGAAATGTTGGTCTGGACAAAAACTACCAAACGTACTGTGTTAGGAAAATGATGACTATTGCCATTCGAAGTACATACTATATTTTTTGCTGCAGAAATAAGGAATGGGAAAGTCCGGACTTGTTAACTACTTGAAATATCTGATTGTCTTGTATATTTATATATTTTCATGTATCCTGTCTTTTATTAGTTGATATAGTTGTGATTCAAATAGCCAATTGTAAGTTACCTTAAATTAGTGAGATTTACAATTGTATATATATATAGTATATAACAAAATTATTAAAGTTTCCATTATTATTATTATTATTATTATACAGTGCCTTGGTTATGTTAATGATATATCCTTAAACCCTCGTCATTGGTTCCAATTTGCGGACGATGCTGCAATTATATCTGCGCATAACGAAGACAATCAACTACTGTGTAATGCATTTAGTAAATGGTCCTCTTGGGCAGACTTATATATCCGAGTAAATAAGTGCCACACTTTTGGGATCAAAAAGTTTGGGACAAAAGCAGTCCAGTATAAACCTACTATAAAAATCTCTTGTCAACAGGTTCCCCCAATCGAGGACGGTGAAAGTTTTATGTATTTTGGTAAACAATTCAATTTTGAAATGGATTGTACTGAAACCAAAATTGAGATCCTTGATGAAATCTATAAACTGTGATGAAATCCAACACTACTTAAAGAAAATTGATCTTATCCCAATAAATCCTTTTTCCAAAATACGCGTGGTTCAAAGTTATGTCTACTCAAAGTTCTGGCGTTTTTCAATCTACCCGCTTACTACAAGCTGGATACATTCTAATCTGGACTCTATAATTTCCAAATATATCCGGAAATGGCCCCAGATCCCAATCAGCGGCAACATTAGCCATCTAAAGCTTCCTAAATTACAACTGGGAATTGATTTCTGTTCCCCCTCTGACATATATAATCAATGTAAACTGACAGTGCGCAGAATCTTGAGGACTTCTGTCAACTCCGATATTCAACAGCTATATACCAAAACGTCATCAAAAAACATCGTCACTGATGATATTATTGAACGGGCGGCTGCTGGTATCTCTGAACAATATATGTTAAGAAACGCTGCAAAGAAGATTCTGGTAAAGAAAAACCTTGACGAAATTTGGTCAAACTTTGTAGAACTAAAAGAACAATCCATGATCATTACCTTCTTAACTGATACTTGCTATAAGAAGATGATTAAAGTATGGCACGAAATTGTCACTCGAATGCCCAGCAATATAGTATGCTTTGGTAGGAGAGCGTTAATTTTAAGTTTAGGAAATAATTCTAACCTAAAGCGCTGGAACATTCGTGACTCCGCCAACTGTGAGTTGTGCAACAAGTTACAAACCCAGCTACACGTTTTTCCAGCTGCAAGGTAGCCCTAGAACAACAACGCTATACTTGGCGGCATGACTCGATTCTGATGACTATTATTCATCACTTAAAAGTCGCAGTTGGTGCAGATCTTCGACTGTTTGCGGACTGTCCTAATTCAGGTATGACCTGTACTTCAACTTTATTTCGAACTCTAAGACCTGATATAGTGGTGGATATTAAGGGTTCTGTATATGTGGCGCGCAGCGCCGAGGTGAATAAACACATATCCCCGAGGTGCCTCAAAATAACGTACTTATTTTTCACACCTCGAGGTCGCGTTAATGAGTCAGAAAAGAAATAATTCTTAATGCCATATTGCCTTCGCGATGTTGTTTTTTCTCATTTTTTGTGCTGCAAAGACATTGCAGGTGAATATTAGAGGGGATTATTAATTACAGGTGAATATTAGAGGGGATTATTAAACGGAAATTGATTAGAGGGGAATATTGAATATATTCCCCGACAAGAACAAAGGAAACCGAGCAGGGTGAAAAATAAGTCTAATATAGTGAACTGTTTCTCTATTTTTTTGATTTAATTGAAAGTCTAATTATGTGATATATTTGTATAAATTATCATGTTATTAATAAAGATTTCTGTTGTTTAAAAAATTATTATTATTATTATTATTAAAAGGCACAAGGTGATGGCAATGCCACAAGACAATGATAATGAATAGGTAACTAATGGTTCCAGTTCTACTGTGAGTTACTTGATTAACGAAGGACATGCAGAACCCGCTGTGACTGGTAACACCAAGCAACAAGCAGTACAAGGCACAATCGATTAAGGCGCAATAGAAACTAGTATAATACAGGCAAACAGTGGAGCAGAATCAATCGAGTTTATCAAGTCCAACCCATACACCATTGTACACGGAAGGTTCATTTCTAAACCGCCATTTAAAGCCACTGAGAGTACCTGATTACGATGGTAATGAAACAAAGTTTGAAGAATTTTGGAGCCTATATGAAAGTTTGGTTGACAAATCAAACGAGCCGTTGCATCTAAAGATTGCGACAGAATTTGTCTGGTCGAGCTTTGGAAGCGATTCGTGGTTTAGAAATATATCAGCACCCGCGTATGACGAAGTGAAAGAAATAATTCTGTCGAAATCTGGTGAGCAGCGACGACAATTGAGAGGTTACATGGATGAATTGGAGAATATGCTGACTATGCGTAACAATGATGTTAATGCCTTTGAAATGTTTGCTGACCTAGTTAGGGTAACAGTTGCGAAACTGAAAGCAGAGAATCGAGAATCAGAGCTAGGAGAAGGAACTTTGCATGGACAGCTTGTGAAGAAATTATCGGATCGTCAGTTGGAAAGTTATAGTCGATGGTTAAACACTCACAGCAAGGAACAGTCTGTTACAGGGACGTGCTGGGGTCTTGAAAAGGACGACGAGTGAGCAACGTCTGATGGGGCCCAGTGACGGATAGATCAAGATTGGGGTAGGGGACATTACTGATCCAACATGAAACATTTCAGTCGCTAATTAATCTTTTTCCCAAAAATTGTTGGCGAGCGGGGGGACAACCTGGACATACCATTTTCAGGCACTTTTGAATTAATATACCGTAATTTGTTAATTTTTTTGACAATATTTTCGTAAATTTAGATTTTTGAAATAAAAATTGTAATATCTTAATCTTGATTTTCAAAATTAAAATCTATATTTTTTATTTTTTCTAATGTTTTAATTTTAGGGGCCATGTTGGCAGGGCCCACAACAACTTCTCGTCGGCTCGTCTCTAGCCACCACGTCCCTGGCCTGTTATAGGTTTGTGTGATTTGTTGAAAGAAGAGGTGACTATTAAAGTGGAAGCTGCAGAAATGGCGTATGGTCTGCAGCAGAAATCTAATCTGGGGATCTAAAGGGATATCAGAACAAGGGTGAAAAGACAGGATTTCGGTCATTCCGTACTGGAAAGCAGGGAAGCTATGAGTCATGCCAACCTAATATGTCCGGAAACGCAACAGATGTGAAACCGCCTGGTGCATTTTGTGTTGGTGTCAACGAGGCATGTGCAAGTGAAATGTAGGGAGCGAAAACCTGATTGCCAAGCAGTTGGCAGTTGATTTTCCTGGAGACAGTCATAGACCATAGTATGTACAGCGCGCTCAAGTATCTTCACAAAAGCCGCACTGTTAATTTCGGGGAGTTAATTTAACTCCGGTGGAGTTATACTGTACCTCAATTAATTCCAAATGTGGAGTAAAATTAGGTTCAGAATAATACCACTGGAGTTAAATTAACTCCCTGAAATTTACAGTGCGGCAATACCGAGATCGGTCTATAGTTTGCAGGGTCCGTTTTTGAACCGACTTTAAACACAGGTGTAACCATGGCATGTTTCCAGTCAGATGGCATTGCCCTTTCTGCAAGTGATCTATTCATTAAGATAGCCAGAGGTTTAGCAAGTGCATTACAGCCATCTTTAAGGAGGCGTGCAGGTATATTAGCTAAACCAGTTGACTTAGATGTTTTGATTTTCTTTAGTTCTTTGCAAACAAATTCCTCGCTTATTGTAGAAAGGCTAAAAGTACTGCTTGCCTTAGCCGATAAGCTTGCTACATTGGGCAGAGAAGATAATTTACTTCTTATTTTAATCACAGCTGTTTGAAAGTATTTGGCAAAGCTTTATGCAATCTCCCTTGGCTTACAAACTATACCAAATTCACTTTCCGGACATTCAATTTTTGCAGTATGTTTAGTGTTAGGGATCACGCTCTTTAAAGTTTTCCATAATTTAGCTGAATCACTTTTATTTATTTTACAAGGATGGTATTGGAGTAAAAGTCTCGCTTTACATCTCTGATGAGGCGTGTTGTTTCCTCCCTACTCTTAGTTTTTTGCGCCCTTTACGATGGAAATTTCGTTTGCGCATCAAAATTCCTTATATTACCGGTTATCCAAGGGAGACTCTTTGCCCTGACTCTTCTTGATCGAAGTGGTGCATGATTTTCAATTACATTAATTAATGTTGATTTGAATACATTCCATGCTTCATTGACGGTTAAAGATTTATCAACTCCCTCCCATGAGGCACTATGCAAATCTGCAACAAATCTCTCGGATGAATAATTTTTAAAATTTTGAAATTGAATATTCTTAAACGTTTTCGCGATTTTCTGGCTCGTCTTATCAAATAAAAAAAAAAGCGAATGATCACTAATCGAACACTGCACAACCCCAGATTCAATAATTTTCTCCGTATCTGTAACAAGTGCAAGATCAATGAGGGTTGAGGAATGTTCTGTAATACGTGTGGGGATTTGATAAGTTGAATTAATTGATAAGTAAGGGGAGCATGTCATAGTTAAAATCTCCAAAGAATAACAATTTAATACCGTCACTAGATGTTTCTTCTAATATTTTGTCAAAATGAACTTTAAAACTGTTGTATTCAGTATTAGGTGGTGGTAGTCAGTGGATTGAACAAACAAGCATTATCTTCTGATTTGGAAATGTTATTTCCAAATATTTGCCGGGGGGGGGGGAGAATTTGGGGGGCAAATTTCCTGGGACACCGGCTTCGATATCTTGGCCAAAGTCAGTTCTATGATGAGCCGTAAGTGAAATGCTGTAATAAATAGCAGTACCTCCTTCTCGCTGTAAGTCCGTACGGTAATTTCTAATAAGGTTGTAGCCATTTAAAGCAAGTTGAGAATCCGTTGAGCCAGGTTTTATTAGGGCAAATAAAATCACAAGAGGCCCAGGCTCGATTTGCCCGCGCCCGCCTGTGCCTTCCTTATAACGAGGGAAGGAAGGAAACATTGAGACCAAAATAGCCCAGACTGGCATATGTCACACGAAACTATCCTCGATTTTTCGCCTTTAATGCATTTCTTTCACGATTAATCGATATCCCCTGCAAGAATGATACCGTATAACTCTCAAAACAACGATGCTTTAATCAAGGAGCTTAAATTCGCTCTGAAATCCGTGAGGGAATAACAAAATTCGCCCAAAATATATCCGCGTGCCGGGTTTGCTGGACAAAAAGCGGAAGTCGTTGAACAACTCAAAATACACTCAACCCTGATTGGACAACGAAAATCAACAAACATTTCAAATTTTTCTCCACTGGCACTGGGAAGGGGGACAGTACTTGGAACAGTACTGTAATAATTTGATTATTTGAATCAAAACAATTCACAAACGTTATTATACTGACTAAACTTCTTAAATTTAAATATTTAGATTTGCACTGGTTTCACCCCGACAACATTTGTTAATTGTTTTGATTCAAATTTATATTACATTACTGACTACAGAAATTTGAAATGTTTGTTGATTTTCGTTGTCCAATCAGGGTTGAGTGTATTTTGAGTTGTTCAACGGCTTCCGTTTTTTGTCCAGCAAACCCGGCACGCGGATATATTTTGGGCGAATTTTGTTATTCCCTCACGGATTTCAGAGCGAATTTAAGCTCTTTGATTAAAGCATCGTTGTTTTGAGAGTTATACGGTATCATTCTTGCAGGGGATATCGATTAATCGTGAAAGAAATGCATTAAAGGCAAAAAATCGAGGATAGTTTCGTGTGACATATGCCAGTCTGGGCTATTTTGGTCTCAATGTTTCCTTCCTTCCCTCGTTATAAGGAAGGCACAGGCGGGCGCGGGCAAATCGAGCCTGGGCCTCCTGTGATAAAATCAAATGGATTATCATTCATGAGTATTTTGAATTCGTCTAGATGTTTCGGGAGGATACGGATATTTAAATGGCAATTTTTAGACCAGGTTGATTTAAAGTTGAATAAGTCCATCCCGGATTCGGAAATACATCGCCAGCTGATAGGATTAAAGCAGCCAAAATACAATATTAATTGCGTAAGTTTGCAAACCTGCATAGAGAGCTTCGCCACTGGAGCAGTTTGTTTGACTGGTATTTTATATTTCTTGTGGCTGTTGTAAAATTAGTTGTAGATAACAATTTACCAACATAAAGAGAGCTAGCAATAGATCTTGCTCCCTTCCAAGTTTCATGGGGCATATACCCCCTTCAAAACGACGAAACAAAGGTAGAAAGTATTAATTTGAACAGATCGAGCGCCATTAACACATGGCGCCATGCTGATCATGTTGTGGTTTTCGACGATCTTAATTTATCGTCATTTTCGATATTTTTTAAACGAGTAGATGCAAATGTCAAGATACAGGCCAAAATAAATCGCTATAATCAGCTGACATTGACTAAAACAATCGTTAGGAATTAGGAGATTTTGACTCGCTGAATCCAATATTTTAGTCTTCAATGCATGCACCGAATCGAAGATATGAACGTTGTAAAGTCACACATCGTCAGTGATGTAGATAATTGGGACTTGTCGAGAAAGAGTCTCTTTAAAACTTTATAAACATATTTGTCCGTATGGTTTTTAAGCATGCATTATGGCCAATTTAAGTTTCATATTTCCTGCTGGTTCGTAATTGGCACCTAAATATATTATAGCTTCTGAATCAGTCTGACAATATTTGATGTCCTTGACAGGCTTGGTGCGATACTATATATATTGCAGTTTCTTACCTTGTCAGCATCAATAACTTTAGCTGCGTGATATATCTTCTTCAGGTAAAACTCATTAGTTCTTAGTTCACTCATTATCAAGGCAAAAGTCGGCAGTGAATATGATGCACATATTGCAGATAATTATATAGTTACGTATATCATATTCAGCATGGCCAACATTTGTATTAGTGAATGGCGCAGTTTGATTGGCTACTGATGAGACATGCAGGATTTCCAGTGTTGCCCACGGGCAATATGGAATTTGCTCTACGAAGCTGCGACGAGAAAAATATCAAATCTAAATTTTAAAATTTTAGCCCTCTTGTTACCCTTTTTGTTTATCGTAAGTCCAATGTTAATAAACTCGATGCCACCTCATTTTCCCAGATTGGAGAACGAATTTGAGTCGAGTTAGAATTTCAGTTTTGTTTTCGTATGAAACGATTATGGATTATCAAGTGTCTTACTTGGGTGTACTTTCGATATTTCGCCATGAAATATTCCTAATATATATAACCCGCATATACTGCGAACTCTACAATAGTCAAATCTAAGGGACCCTCACGTAGTTTATAAGGTACCCCAAGGTAAGCTAACGTAGGTTATATGTAGTATAAGGTAGGCTAATGAACAATATTGTTGAGCCTGAATCGGGTGTAACAATATTGTTCAATATTGTTGACAATTGTGAACAATGTGGGCAGCAAAGCATTGTTCAATCCTGTTTTCATCAATATTGCATCAACCTGAGCGTTTTCACGCGTGTACTGTAGGTATGTTCTTTTGCATTTTGCGAGGTTTGATTTAATGTAAAATTTAACTTGAAAACGCTTCGTAAAATGTTTGAAATGTTCATTCAACTATAAATTAAACTTATGCCGATAAACTGTGTTTACTCAATAAAACATAATAAGTTCAAATTTTAGGTAATTTCAGTTCCGTCGTCAAATATCTGCTCTCCTTTACGTTAAATTAAACAGGGTAATTTAGGAAACTTACAGCTTCTTTGGAAAGGAAAACATGTTCATGCACAGCGACCCAATCTCAGAACTATTCTAAAAACATTCTTAACTTAGTCAAATAACCACACTTTACATTAATAAAATATAGTTGATATGATAATATAATACCTTTGCATTATTTTAATTACTACAAGAGCTCATTTAGAGCGGTTTATGCAACATTTTCTGTGGATAATGTTGCATAAACAGTACTGTAGCAAGCTCGATAATTGGGGGGGGGGGATGGCTCATAAGTCGGTTTTTCACTTCAAGCGTACCGTACCGAACCGTATCAAAAACGTTTGTTAGAAATTATTATTTTATTTCTTTTTTCTACGCGAGGTAGGGAATCGTTTACAATCAATCTCTAGTAACTATAGTAATTTACAATCAATCTCTAGTAGTTTTCCAAGAGTTCACTTCAGCCTTCAACTGGCTTTCACTGTTCGTGATCTGTTTCGTTAATTTCTTCGTCGTTCGTTTGTTTCGTTTGAGTTTCTGCAGCTTTTCATCAGTTAAGTTTTATTCAGCATACGTCCACTGACGAATTTGGGTTGTGCGCGCCCTTTTATACTAACGGTTGAGGGGATCTTTCTACACGTGATGTAGCAAGTGGTGTGATTTGTATCCAGCCAATCAACGTTGAGGTTTAAAAGTGTGGGTTGGCGTTGCTAGCTCGTTCCAGCTTTCACATTCTGTTTATTTAAGGCGTTGTCGCATTTGTCGAGTCGGTTCGCTGTTCAATCGATCAATGTTAAAATAGGTTCACAACTTAAAATACTCATCAAAATATCATAGTAAAAACTTCAAACTATACCTATGTGAACCTTACTTTACCTACTAAACCAAACTCACTTACAATTTTATTGAACCAAGATTTTGATGACGTAATGTTATCATTACTCAACCGCGCGAAATATACCGAAGAATGACTGACAGAAAGGCCCTAAGCATGCACATTTTCATGTCAGAGAAGAACCAGCCTTGGACTTTGAATTATGTAAACACAACAGCCCACCATGCAAGGTTATCGTTCATCTTTGACAAATTGACGAGTTATCTATCTTGCCTAATGGACAGATAATTGACACTTTTACACAAGTCCGAAATGATATATACTTTATCTGAGTTTTACAGCAAAAATGCTCATTATCTCTCCATTTGACGTAACTAGTATCTATAATTACCTGGGGTGCAAATTGAACTATTTTTATACTATTTTTTAATACTTTCGTAACACGTTTTTAAATTTCAAAATTTCGTGAATATTGATTGGTTTGTACTTCCGTAGTACGCCAAAAAGTTGACTTGCGACGAACTTTTTATTTTGATACGCGAATATACATCTGGAAGTACGTGGATTTATAAACCTCTTTTCAGTCTGCGCATGCTCACCAGTACATTTCGCTACGATACGGGCGAAGTGGAAAACCGGCTATATTCATATATTCATGTTCTGCGGTATTAATTTCTTTTGAAATCGATTGTTTTTAAGGTCTGTGAACACGAATATATGAATATTCCGCCCCCCTCAATTATCGAGCTTGCTACGGCACTGATAAACCACTCTAAATGAGCTCTTTTACATGTAGTAATTAAAAGAATGCAAAGGTATTATACTATCATGTCAAGCTATATTTTATTCGAAACGATTTTCCAAATATTTGTGTTTGAAAATTGAAATCTTGCTTATCCCACTCCTGGCAATCCGCCATATTTTTAAGATCAGTCATCAGTGGGGAGGTCCACCCGCACACCATGACATCACTTTAGACTTCGCTAATGCTTTCGTTTCCCCGGTTGTAAATAACCGGACTGAATTAGTACCCTCCCACGAGGTTATGCCCAGAACGGCGCTCCGCGACGTTGGCTCGGGTATTACAGAAAAAAGTTTATACATGTGTTGGAGTGGCAAAAATATGTGTTGACTGGCTTCTTTCCCTTGTGTGCACGTGGTGGAAATCGTCGTTAAATAGTTCAGGTAACCTGCACCGTAGCATAAGAACGAACGAGGGCCTCATCAGAACGATGAAATCGTATTCATTCACACAGTCAATGATTTTTATTGGCTATGACAAACTTCATTAGGTTATAATACTTGTTTGCTTTTATAGCAAATACGAAAAGCCCGGATCAAACGAGGATGAGAGTGCATGAAAGTTAACTGTTCTTAATGCTTTTCCAACACTATCATGTAGTTTAGGCTAGCCTGCGAACAGGCTCTCAAGCTGAATTGAGAGCCTGCATCGATGACTAATGAATTTGAATATCTGCCCCGTAACGTTCGTTTTTCCAAATATGGAATGTATATTCTTATATGGTGTTGTTTACAACTTTCGTGCAAACTAAATTTAGACCGTGCAAACTAAATTTAGACCGTACAGTTTATACTGTTTTTCGAAATATAAGATATTCAAGCAAAAGTTCAAACGTTTTAAATACTGTTTTCTCAAAACAGAACATTTCGTGCTTTGAGATAAGACGGCCAAGACCAATTTGATCAGTTAATGTGTTTTTTATGCATAGTGCTTCAGCAGTTGACATATATAGAGCTCAGCGGAAACATATAAATTATAGCATCTGACCAATGAGAATTTCGCGTCACGATTTGAGACGCAGATATTCAAATTCATTGGTCATCGATGCAGGTTCTCAATTCAGCTTGAGAGCCTGTTCGCAGGCTAAGTTTAGGCCTGTTTTATACGTCGAATTTTGGTCGCGTCGAATGCAATTCAATGAGGTTTATCATCTCATTATCTATTGCCTTAATTACATTCGACGCGACCAAAATTCGACGTATAAAACAGGCCATATTCAAGTGAAAACGTAGTTGAAACATTCATCAAACTTTTATTTTGTTAACCTAGAACTATTTATTAATTTAAATGTCCCTTGTAATAATGCGTGACTGACCTTGAACAGGTGAACAGGGTGGACTTTTGTCGACGCTGCATAAAAATAGTGCGGGCTCGTGAGCTTTTTCCCGCAAATTTTGCTTTTTGTTGTTTTGCTTACAATTTCTAAGGATGTTGAAGTTTTCTGCATTGTGATTCACTGGTTTTTGAAAGCATCGGGGTTTTATTCTTTGGAACTTGCAGGCTAACTCTTCAACAACCTAATGACTGTTTTTAAACAAAGCAATTGAAAGGAAAACTTATATTTTCATACGAAGAAGATGAGTGGCGATATTTATGTTGTACTGTTTTGAGCAGATGCTTCAAAGAACATGATATGATCGGACCTTGTATCTTAAAAGTGTGCTTGGAACAGCCGGACAAAGTGGTGAATTGTGTTCCCCGGTGTGTTGGGCATCATAATTCACATGAATAGTACACAGTGACGTTTGAACTGGCTATGAAATATCGTGAATACTTCGTCGAGTTCTCTGGTGCCATGTGACCTGTAGTTTAATGTAACACACGTCTTTGGAAGGGCTTTACTTGACTTTAATCGACGTGTTAGGTATAACTTAGGTAAGCCAACATTTCTTTGTAATGCAAGCTACATTTTCATATCTTTAATGTGTGAATATTTTTAATTTCGTAACAAAATAAGCGCAATATGTTGTTGGAGAAAGTATCGAGTGCTTAATAATTACGCTCAGATCTTGTATACAGATATTCGTATTTTATTCAAAATCTACCCTTTATCACCACTTTTTTTATTCTTTTATGTTTAAGTATACATAATCCTTGACTTAAAAACACAATGATCTACTCGAGGAAAATTGGGCAAAGGGGCGATCTTTGCAGAGAAACTTGACCGTTCGGTGAAATTGGTAGTTCAGAGACCCTATTCTTATTGTAGTATTTTGTGGCAATTTGTTGGCCGATTTCTAGTTTATATTGTAGAACGGGTTCCTAGCGAATTAAATTAATAATTGTCTAACCTTTACAGAGTTGAACAGGTGGGAAAAGTGTCTTTTCTGACCACATTTATTGCGGGCGCTTTCTTCTTGCCAGCCATATTTTTGAAAACAACAAAAAACACTCCTTTACGGAGCTGGACACTCCTTTACGGCTATTAGTAAAACCAGGAACGCCAAAACAGCATGCATCATTCCGGAACACGGAACACTAAAAGTTTGTAACTTGTTAAAAATTCGAAAATAATTATCGGGGAGTGAAATTATTGCTGGAAAAAGCATTGCCTCCGATCGGCTACAATAAATTACGAACTGAAATCAGTTTCAAATTAATAAATATTTGCCCGAAAAGAAGAAATCAAACCTACAATTGTTATTTGTTGACAAAATGGCTGTCTTTGTTTCGATTATTGAAAACATGAACTTTGCTTTTGGCCGACTTTCGGTCAATATTAATGGTGTAACAACAGTTGATTGGCTTCCTTGTTTTTACAAACTTACATTGGAAGTTGGAAAGGATAATTTTCATCACTCGTTCAAAGTTTGCCTTTAGCATCACTTACAGTTCTTTAATTTACGTAATAACAATTTTATCGTTTCTCACACAAAACATAGGCAACGATGCTGCGCATGGAAGAAACACTTTTAGCGCGACAATAACCTTCCGATCAATCAAAATGACAAAAATACTAGAAAATACAATGCCGTAGGATGAGCATCCAAAAGATACAATTCTGTTGCACCCCTCGTGTAACTACGTAATTTCACATGAAGCAATAGATAAAAACTTACTTCATCAGAACCGTTGCTCCCCAAGCGAAACAGGTGCACAATTGCGAAAATAATCCCTCCAAAGTTCGCTATTTTCCGCTTCGAAATATACTAGCGGCTAAATGGAGGAATGCACATTTACTAGCGGCTAAATCGAGGAATGCACATTTGCCCGACGCCATCATTTTTCGAGGCTGATTGATTTTTCGAGGCTGATTTTAGACAGTACAGACGTGTTTTATCGAGCTCCATAATTTCTGCTATTCTAGTTGCTTATTACTATAAGGAATGGCTTCCTTAACGGTTGTGAATGTTTTATATGGCTACTTTAACACTAAAAACAACAAATTGAAATGGACTGGATCATTAGAAGACTTGAAAGCATTCGTCCTAACTGAAATCGACGAGGAAACAGCCGACAACACTACATGGCGATCGTCAGGAGGTGGGAGATGGAATTTCGAAAGCAAGCAGCTAACTGTTACTTGGCTGACGAAAAGCGAGAATATACTCTTTGGAGGAGAGAAGGGAAACGACTTAACAGATCGAGTGTATACTTTCTTAAGGCGGAATGAAATCAACGCCAAGAACGATAACACTGCTAATCTAAAAAGTTCCATAGAAAGTCTATTAGCTGAGGAGAGCGAAGAAGAGAGCGAAGACAGTCCTGAAGAATCGCTTGACAGAATAAACACTTTATCAAAGAAAGATCAGGGTATAGCGAATCGAGGAAGCGATATTACATTGGGTGCGGCATACCAACATGAAAAATACGAAGAAGACATGTCATATGAAAAGTCGCAGAATTTGCATAACTCATCATCGGGTAAGTCATTACAAAGTTCTCAAGACAATGACTTAATGCAAATAATAGAAGCAATTAGCGATAAAGTAAAGAATCTTGCAACCGAAGTGAGACAGATAAAGGCCATTAACCCGCAATTAAACAATCAAGATTTAATTAATGACTTTAGAGAAGAAAATCGAAAGCTTAATTCGCAAAATGAACAGCTACAAGAAAGAAATACAGATATTTCATGTACCATGACAGATCTCCATATGAAAATCAAAAACTTGGTAAATGAAAGAGATTGTCTAGTTACAACACTCAAGATTTTACACCTTGACCGAAAGGATATCGAAAAGCAACCCGCAACCTCTGGATGGCGTAAGGTAAAATCAAATGGCCCAGCTAAGACATTAGACAATTATTCGCCTGTTATAACATCCCAATCGATATGAAATTCTCGAGGAAGAATCGAAAAAAGAGAGTTACGATCAAGTAATTCATACTGAAGATGTAGATTTGCAAACGAAACGATACAAACACGGAAAGACAACTCGATCAGACCAAGCGAAAAGTAAGCCAAAAGATAACGCTAACGGAAACACAGAGAAGTCTGTCAAAACGACATATATTGTTGGTGATTCTATGATTAAACATTTGGATTGTCATAGACTAAAGCGTTCCGTTCAGAACGGGAACAAGCGAGTGCATGCAGAGACGTATCGAGGAACCACAACTGATGCAATGCAATACCACATTAAGCCATGTCTCCAAAGAAAACCTGACGAAATCATTCTACACGTTGGGACAAACGATCTCAAAGAGAAAAATTACATTAGGCATTACATTAGGAATTACATTAGGCATAAAAATATTGGAGTTAATCATTTAAACACATATGGTCTTCATCTTAACAGGCTAGGAACAGCAACCTTAGCAAGGAACATTCTATTATATTTGAACAGTGATAGGAAACATAATTGAAATTATATCGCTCCTGAGAATTTGAACAATATAAGTAAGATAAGTGAAAGTGGTAGATATGCTGATTTGGGATCATCTAAACAAACAATAAGTAGAAAAAATTGCTAACACTACAACTAGATCTAGTATAACTCAACAGCGACATAAACTGAAGGGCTTCAAGATATCTCATTTAAATATCAGAAGCTTAGTTAAAAATATAGATCAGTTTAGGATATATAGTCATAACTGCAAGTTTAATATAATATGTTTAAGTGAAACAATGCTAGACGGTACAATCCAAGATTATGAAGTAAATGTTAATGGATACGAAGTTATTCGTAAAGATAGAAATCGTAATGGCGGGGGTGTTGCGATTTATATTAGAAATTGTATAAGCTATAAATTACGGCCAGACTTAGATCACGCAAATTTGGAATCAATCACCGTTGAAATTTTCAAACCAAAAGCGAAGTCGTTTTTAATCAATACATGGTATAGACCACCAGGTACAAGTCTTGATTTGTTTAGTGATTACGAGGAGTGTATTACAAAAATGGATTATGAAAATAAGGAAGTTATCACAATTGGAGATTTCAACTGTGATTGGAACAATCTCGGAGAACGTACAATTTTCCCTCAGACAAAAAGCATCGTTGATCTTGCTCAAACATTTCAATACGAACAATTGATTTAAAGAATCAACGAGAATAACCGAAACTTCTAGTACGTTAATGATCGTTAATAGACTTGGCATTCAGTAACAAGCCAGAACTGATTATTGACTCGGGCGTGGAACACATAGGAATAAGTGACCATAGCATGATCTATGTCTGCCGAAAAGTTTCTATTCCCCGAAAAGAGCCAAAAATTGTCAACACAAGACAGTATAAATATTTGGAAATTAATGCTTTTAGATCAGATTTAATTGAAATTTTCCAAATACAATCAAACCTTACAAACCCAAACATTCTTTGGGAGGAGTGGAAATCAAAATTTTTGGCGGTTGCTGATCTACATGCGACACCAATTACACGGAAAGTTAGAAGTGAGTATGCTCCTTGGATTACAGAAAATATTAAGAAAAGTATGCAAAATAGAGATTATCTTAAAAAAAAGGCCGTTAAATCGGGCTCAAGGAATGTGCACGAAGCGTATAAAAGAGCAAGACATGAAGTTAACAAGCTCGTTAAAAACACGAAAACTAAATACTTTATGAATGCCCTAAGTGAAAATAATCAAAATCCTAAAACAATGTGGAACACAATTAGGACATTGACAAACAAAAATTCTAAAACAACTAACATCACTGAGATCCACGTTGAGAATGATCACTCTGTTACCGAGCCTAAACAGATTGCTGATGCCTTTAATACATTTTTCATTAATATTGGTACTCAACTGGCTGATGCTTTACCTGTAACCAACATAACACCAGAATCATTTATCACCCCTGCGAATTCCTCTTTTGAAATTAATACCGTTTCAATTGACAAAGTATTTAATTTACTTTCCACTATAAAAGTTTCTAAGGCAACAGGACACGATAAAATCTCACCAAAATTGCTGAAAGACTCTGCAGATATCATAGCGCCATCTTTGGTTAATATCTTTAACCAATCTATTAAAACTGGTATCTTTCCTGATGATATGAAAACTGCAGTGATCTCACCTATTTTCAAGTCGGGAAATAAGACAGAGTGTACTAACTATAGACCAATTTCAATACTCTCGGCAATTTCCAAAATCTTTGAGAAACTCATTTCATTGCAATTGTCTGAATATCTGGAATCCAATGAGATACTCACAGGTGAACAATCAGGTTTCCGAAGGATCACTCAACACAATCATCGCTCCTTCAAGCTACCAACAAATGGTTGATCAATATGGACAATGGGTGCTTGAATGGTGTAATATTTTTGGACCTGAAGAAAGCCTTTGATTGTGTTGATCATGATATACTGCTTAGGAAACTATATCTCTATGGGTCTAGCCCAATTACCTTAAAATGGTTTAAGTCATATCTGTCCAATAGAACACAAATATGTAAAATTGAGCGTACCATGTCAAGAGAACATACTATAAGATGCGGAGTGCCTCAGGGATCAAACCTAGGACCGTTGTTATTTCTAGTATACATAAATGATCTCCCGAGGTGTCTTTCGCACTCGTCTACTAGTATGTTCGCTGACGACACAAACTTAACGACAAATGGTGGTACAAGCGATGAAGTCATAACTAAATTAAATGTAGACTTAGAAAAAGTTCATCAATGGTTGCTGGCCAATAGGTTAACTCTTAATAAAGAAAAAACCGAATACATGATAATAGGGTCTAGACAGAGATTAGCCAAAATTGAAAACGAACAAGAATTAAAACTTGGGGAAACAAATATTAATAGGGTAAAATGTACAAAAACCCTAGGTGTAATTGTCGATGAACAATTAACGTGGAAAAACCAGATCGAAAGCATAGTTAACAAGGCTTCAAAAGGTATCGGAATGATACGTCGTATTAAAAAATATGTTCCGGCTACAGTTTTAGAAAACGTCTATAAGTCTATAGTACTGCCTTATTTTGACTATTGCAGTTTAGTTTGGGAAAACTGTAGCGTCTATCTCCAAGATAAATTACAGAAAATGCAAAATAGAGCAGCTAGAGTAATTACGGGGAAACCGTACGATACAAGAATAAGTGATATGCTGAATGAACTTGGTTGGCAACCATTAGCTGGACGAAGGAGATCTCAGAAAATAGTATTTATGCATAAAGTTAAAAATAAGCAATTCCCAGAAAGCATATCTAACATGTTCCATATTAATAAAAACAACAACTACAACCTACGCAATAATAATGTCAATTATGCACTTTCAAAACCTAAAACAGATTTCATGAAAAAAAGCATAAGTTATTCAGCCGTAAGTCTATGGAATAGCCTCCCAAAAGCCGCTAAACTACATGACGTTTCTATTTGGCAATTAAAACAATTCTCTCGAGCTGATTATAATTACGAATAGATGAAATATGCGAACAGTAAATAGAATCTAATTATGTTATTTGTTTGTAAATAGCTCCTGTATTGTGTTAGGTTAGTTCTTTAATGTCTTTTTATATATTTTTTATTGTATTACTGTAAACGGCCTCTTGGAAATCAGATGTTAGTAGATCTGAAGGGTTACCGTTTCCAAATAAGATTAAATAATAAAGCTGGAACAGGTAATAAATAACGCGCAAGGTGTTCTCTCTTCGTTGGCTAAAACGGTGGAAATGGAAGGAATAGAAGGAAAAGTTGATTCTGCAACCCGTATCGCGCGTTACAAATTAACTGTCTTTAAAAGTTGGTTTACCTTTTCACAATCGGTTATGTACGCAAGTTAAAATTTGATAATAAACAGCCTGACTTCGCAACACATTTATTAGGTTTCCGCCTCCGTTCGAACTGGGGTCCTTGCGCGTGTGAAGCGCACGTGATGACCACTATGCTACAGAAATTGGCTGGCGAAGCACGAGTTCAGTGCGTTGCAGAATTTTGCTCTTTTCATTTTCTGTAAATAAAACCCAAATGCACGCTTCTGCCCAGGGTCGAACTGGGCACTTTGCACGCCTAAAGCGCATGTGATGACCGCTACAATACGGAAACAAGCGCATGTTCGGAACCTATGCAAACTTCCTCAGTTTCAAACGTTCAAAATTGACTGAAAATTCGTTCATTTGATCCTCCCGCAGCAGCCAATTTTGATTCTTCTGTTGAAGCAATAGAAGGACCACTGACGTGCGATGAGATAAACGATGTTCAGTTAGTTGCAGTTGGATATATTTTCTGGTTTAAATGAAGCATTTTTTCTCCATTATATAAGAAAGTAAAATGACCTAATGTACAGTAGGCACAAGGGTTGTCAGCCGTCAGGATGGCCGAGCGGTCTAAGGCGCCCGACTAAAGTTTCAAAACTTGCTCCGCTAATGCGCAGCCAAACGGCGTTCTGGTCCACTAATGTGGGAGTGGGTTCGAATCCCACTGCTGACAGAGAATTCTAAAATTATTTCGCGAGGCCGTTGAATATATTGGTGCAATTCTTAATCCCGAGGATGACTACAAACCAGTCTAAACGTATTAATGTTGATTTAAAAACAAAATGTTGTTCGTTTTCCATCAAACCATTGTTTCCGCCCAGGATCGAACTGGGGACCTTGCGCGTGTGAAGCGCACGTGATGACCACTACACTACAGAAACTTGTCTGGTGAAGCACGAGTTCAGTGCGTTGCTAAATTTTGCACTTTTCATTTTATGGAAATAAAAACCAAATTCATGCTTCTGCTCAGGATCGAACTGGGGACCTTGCGCGCGTAAAGCGCATGTGATGACCGCTACATTTTCGGAAACAAGTGCATGTTCGGAACCCTATGCAAACTTCCTCAGTTTTAAACGTTCAAAATTGACTGAAAATTCGTTCATTTGATCCTCCTCCGGCAGCCAATATGGATTCTTCTGTTGAAGCAATAGAAGGACCACTGACGTACGATGAGAGAAACGATGTTTAGTTAATTGCAGTCGGATATATTTTCTGGTTTAATTTAAATGAAACATTTTTTCTCCATTATATAAGAAAGTAAAATCACGTAAAGTACAGTAGGCACAAGGGTTGTCAGCTGTCACGATGGCCGAGCGGTCTAAGGCGCA